CGGAATTTTTAAAAAGAGATCTAATATGTGTTATCTACAAGTAACTTACTTTAAATATAAAAATAGATAGAAAAAAGATGGGAAAAATATACCATGGAAAAATTAATAAAAAAAAAAAGCTGGACTGGCTGTATTAATATCAGACAAAGTAGATTTCAGAACAAAGACATTACTAGGAATAAACAGGGATAGTACAGATTGATTAAAAAGAGTCAACTTATCAAAACACAAGAGTTCTAAACATGTATACGTCTAACAACAAAGCTTCAAAACACACAAAATAAAAATACACAGAAGTGAAATGAGAATTAAAGAAATCCACAATTATATTTTGAAATGTCAGTGCTAACAAAATCATCAACTTGGTATGAAACTACATTCTGCCCAACAATAGGAAACAAAATATTCTTTCATAAGTGCACATGGGACGTTCACCAAGATATTCTGGGGCAACACAAATCTTAACTTGAAAAGAACTAAAATCTTAAAAGTACATGTGTGTGAGAGAGTGTGTGTGTGTGTGTGTGAGGTGGGTTTTTTTTGTTTGTTTTTTGTTTTTTTTTTTTAGATGGAGTCTCAGCCAGGTGTGATGGCTCACGACTGCAATCCCAGCACTATGGAGGCTGATGTGGGTGGATCACAAGGTTAGGAGTTCAAGACCAGCCTGACCAATATGGTGAAACCCCATCTCTACTAAAACTACAAAAATTAGCTGAGCGTGGTGGCACGTGCCTGTAGTCCCAGCTACTTGGGAGGCTGAGGCAGGAGAATCACTTGAACCTGGGAGGCAGAGGTTGCAGTGAGTCAAGATCGTGCCACTGCACTCCAGCCTGGGCAACAGAGCAAGATGCCATCTCAAAAAAAAAAAAAAAAAATTGCTATATGGTAGCTCATATTGTTATCTCTTGGTGTGCTTTTATTGTTTTACTTGGCAATTTTATACATCTAAAGTATACTGCTACATAATCAACTTGACTCTTATTTACAAAGGACTTCAAAGCTTAGTAGTGACTTAAGCACTATTAGAGAATGTTTTGGTGCATATTGAGTATCAGTTATGATTTTCAATGGAAATAAACCCAAAAGGCAAGTAACTGTCATTATAATTCTGATTATTAGAATAGAACAATAGCTACATATTGGACATTTCACCTCCTGCCTTTAGAACCCTTAAGATGCAATTATTTAATTTTGAAGCATACCCTTTTTGTTTCCTTTGCAGCCTGAGAATCATTATTTTTTTCAAAACCTTCTTTCAGCTCCTAGTCCTTGAGTGATGAGTGTGGTCATATAGATGCTTATATCATACAGATAATTTTATATCATATAGATATTTTAAACACTGAATAACATAGCAAAAACCTTTGAAAGCAAGATGACACCTAAGACCAATGGCTACCATATAAGGCAAACATATCAACTGTGAATTGAATAGTAAATGCTACTCCTGCACCAATGAATAGTGTCATGCATTCAAGTACCAGGTATGGCTTTTTCTGCTATGACACATGACTTCTTAAGAGCAGATAATCACACAACAAACAACATATTATGTAATTAGCATTTTCTTACTTATTAAAAAATAAATTTTTAGGCTGAGCATGTCGGCTCAAGCCTCTAATCCCAACACTTTGGGAGGTCGAGGTAGATGAATCTCTTGAGCCCAGGAGTTGGAGACCAGTCTGGGCAACAAAGCGAGACCCTGTCTCTACATAAAATAAAACGTTTTTTAAAATCAAAAATAGACCAGCCGCTGTGGCTCATGCCTGTAATCCCAGCACTTTGGGAGGTTGAGAGGGGTGGATCACCTGAGGTCAGAAGTTTGAGACCAGCCTGACCAACATGGTGAAACCCCGTCTCTACTAAGAAATACAAAAATTAGCTGGCATGGTGACTGGTGCCTGTAATCGCAGCTACTCGGGAAGCTGAGGCAGGAGAATCGCTTGAACTCGGGAGGTGGAGGCTGCAGCGAGCCGAGATCGCACCACTGAACTCCAGCCTGGGCTACAGAGTGAGACTCCGGCTCAAAAAAACAATAAAAATAAAAAATAAATTTTATAAGGAAAAATATCCCTAGAATATTTTTCCCCACCAAGGGCTACCTATTAATATCTCACATAACTCTGTGCTTGAAACACAATTTGGGAAATATTGCCTTAAGATTTACTTTGACTAGCAATTCAGTGTTGCTTTTTTTAAAAATTCCGTACTCTGGAGTAACAGTGTTCTAAAACTGCTGAAAAACATTGGTTCGAGAAAAACATTTAGAAACACAAACCCTTGGAGTGTGAGATGAAAACCCGAGCTAAAGGGAGAAAAAGGAAGAGAGAAAGAACACACAGGAAATAAATGAATACAGTCAAGTGAAATACGACCACAAAGAGGAACAGATCCATCTCATTTACCATTGGGGTATGGACGGACGTGTGGTGTTCGAGAAGACTGTTATTGGTCAGAATTTTGCTCTAGATGACAAGTAGGACTGTAGTATCTCTAGGATGGGTCACTTCCCAAGCCCTCTATTACTTAAAAATTCAAGAAGGAACCGATGCTGGAGTACTTGTATCTCAGACTTCTAACCACTGCTCCTACGCTTTTCCAATATTACAACCAAAGACCAGTAGGGGGAGAAAAACGCACAGTACCCAACCCTTATCAGTAGTAATCTCAAAAGTCAACAGATTGATTTACTCTCAAGCAAACAGACGTCTAAGGTACGCAGTACCAAGACACCACCTTGAATCAAATCTATAGCCTATATGACATTTCTGAAGCCTCTATTGGCTTTACGCGAAAAAATCCCCCACGTCTTCTGAATAGTTAGAATTGAATCCTACAAGTTGGTTCGAATCAGAATCCGATTCAAAAAAAAAAAAAAAAAAAAAAATAGCGCTTAGCAAAAGGTCCCCACGAACTGAGTCAAAGGACTGCAGAGGGCTGTGACAGTGCATTCTGCCTTAGGGATGGTATACAATTTAAACCATGTTGGCAGAAGAAAGCACAGCAACGCTTTGTAGAAAGCATTCTTTCTATTATAGAATCCATAACCACTCTGGTTAGCCACTGACAGCGGCGGTTAGCCACCGCGCCTCCTCTTACCCCCAAACTAATCTCGTTTCCTCTATGGGTGTAAAAGTGAAATAACCCACTTGCTCCCAATATTCCTTTCTATATCTCTACCCGAGCTCGCCTGCTGCTCGTAGAAACAAATATACTACATGTACGTTGTCCTAGGATGACACAACACCCTCACTACTCCAGAAGACGGATCATTTAACAAACGTCAGAAGAGCAGCCCCAACTGTACACAAACTTCGGGCGGAAAAGCAAGGCGCAGGCGCAGTAGCACATATTGTTACCCTATTTGCCCACTCCCTGCTCTTCCTCGCCTCAATTTCACTTCCGCTGCTGTGCGCATCTGCTTCCGGGGAATTGTAGGCCCTGCCCCTCCTCAGCTCTTACCCTCCTCTGCCGGAGGAGGGGGGGAGCCGAGGGGGTGGGGAAGAGTTCGTTGTTTGTTTACACGATGTGAGCGGAAAAAGAGACCAATAAAGTTTATTCTGGAAACAAAAGGAAAAAAAAACAGGGGCGACGGAGAAAGGAGTCGGGGGCGGGGGCGTGTGGCGGGGGCTAGCCAGGAGAGGGAGCGAGAAGGAGAAAGCGGCAGTTCCGGTGCCGGCGCTGCGGCCGCTGAGGTCTCGGG